ATGCTTTCCATCACCACCATCTGAAGGACACTGCCACTGCGCCCGTCATCTTGAGACTTAAGTTAACAAGTCCAATGTACTTGTTATTTCACCATACCCTTATCCTTTAAAACCGGAACGCAGTAATGCTCACATTACTGCTTGGCGGCAGAAATCGGTAAGGTATAATGACGAACGACATCCATAGTACATCCCTTGACGAACTTTTCCGCAAGGAGACTACTGCTACTAAGATCTGGTATTTTATTAAAAAATTCTAACAGTTTGAAATTTGCGAATTACCGGATGTTTCCAATGTCATTGTTTACAGTTTGAGTTGGAACAATAATCTATTTTCATACAGTTTGTTACGTACGAATTTAAATGAATAATAGCTTGGAAACGCTTGTGCATATGTACGTTCGATCCATTCATAATCATTCGAATGACGTATGTACAAGTTCGTTAATCGGTAACGCATGAAAACTACGTAATCAATGTTTTGTTGAGATCTATATACGGCATTACAAAATAAGCAAACCCCTTTTAGGGTCAGGGGGTTCCACTTTTATGTATAGAGAGCAGTAATACATACAGTAACTATTTGATTTCTTACTAATTGACCTTAATTTCGTCGTATTTTACTATACCGTTGGCTTTTATATTTAGACACGTGTTATTGCTTAAAACAACACTTATGTCTTAGTGTACAAGTTACGGTGTCAGTGTGTATCCAAGTGGAATTTTTACACCATTCGACATTTGTTGCCAAGTGTACTTGTACTGGCTTGTACCTATGTTCGTCACGCAACGCTGGCTGCCCCTACCTCGCCGCTTTCCTGTCACGTTCCAAATACAACAGTTTTTTCCAAAACTTCTATCCACTGCCCGTCTCAGTCGTCGACAGCAATGCATTGTGTCAACTCGCGCTGTAATAGTACACGAACAAAACATTTAAGTTTTTGTGGTGACATAAGTGCGCCGTGTGACAGTGTGTCGAAGTCCAAGGTCTGGTGTGTCATTTGTAAAATTCAGCCGTTCAGTTTATACAGGTAATGTTAAAATGGGAAAAAACCGCGAATGCGACGCATTGTATAGCTATTAGGTATAGGTTTGAGAATTAATTTACCAATTTAAAAACGACTACTATAATACGAGTAGTATATCGGAAACTTTGTTAGATAGTATCGCTTTTGTTATCTCCTAATTGGCTGCGAGGGTTTGCAATCCAGTTGGCCCAGAGGTCTTTGAACTGAAACTGAGTGAAATAAAAAAAAGCCGATGATGCAATGGAAGTAGCAGCTGACCTCAGTAATGGCATACATCACTTCGGCCAAAGTCCAAATATTTCGCTATCATCGACTTTATTTTCACAACAAATCGTTTACCACGCACTGCAGTCATATTTCGAATTCGTAAACTCGTTGATTTTAATAATTACAATGAGAATCGCACAAATAGGATATACTACCGTTTGATGATAGAACATGAGCGGGTTTTTGCCGAGTAAGGTAAGTAAATTATCTATCAAATTGTGAATATTGCATTAAAAATGATGAGAAACCTCAATTATTATGCTTTGTCTAAAGCCTATTCTGAATTAAGTAGGTACGTACGTGATTATGACCAAATATGTACCTCTGAAAATAGGTACATAAAACGGTAGCACAAATAGAAAATTTATTAGTGTGTTTGGCTCTGATCTTAGGCACCTAATGCGCTTCCTCGATTATAATTACATAAAAGAGGTTCAGGCCATAGTCCGCCACCCTGGCCCATTGTTTTCTTCGACATATGCGTCAGTTTTCTTCGATAAGAACAACTAAATGTAACTTAGAAAACCAAGTCGTTACATGCCGTCACAGGGATTCGAACCGTCAACTCCTCAATTAAGAAGTAACCGTTCGCCACCTAGGCTATCTGCGCTCTCTTTAAGATATAAAAATGGACGTAACATAGAATATATTAATTGCCTACTCAAATGTTAAGTATTGGAATCGTCCCAAGAGGTGTGTCAGGTATAAACAATATTAGTTTTTGTACGCGATGTGAACGAACTGCAAAATTCCGAATACACGTTTGACCACATGTCAACGGGCAAACAAATCGTTAAAATAAGTTTCTATGTTTCCACCCACGATTTTTACGCTCTTAGAACAAGACAAAGCCTCATATCATTTAAGGAGGAATAATTAATTGACAATGCTATAAAAAATTGCAATTGCTTTGAAATTCTAATACTGTTTTGAAGAAATTATAATAATAAGCAGGTACATATGTATGCACCTGCTTATTTTATTATTATTATTAATTATTATATTATTGTGGTAGTCCAGTAAGTGAACGACTGCTTCTTAACTGAAGGGCCGATGGTTCGAAACCCTGTGACGGCATGTAACGACTTCAATTTCTAAGTTACAATTCCTGATAGGCCCTGCGCCTGACGGGACAGCACGGCAGGGATTTTTTGGTGACGATTAGTAATATACCTTAGTGTTATGACATTATAGTTGCAATTTTAATTATAAATGGTCGTAGTAAAGTAACAAAAACAAAGCTGCGACAGATAAGCTTATGGATACCTAGCCGGTAGTCTACTAATACGGTCTATTATGGTTCTATTCTTCTTTTTTAGCAAGACTCTCATTTTTAAATATACGACTGATAGTAAATTTGCTTGCAACATTACTGGGTTGAAGAGAGGCTAGGCGCGAGCACGTTGTCGCGATGGCATGCTTCGGCATGTCTAAGGATGCTGCGGCATAATTGCCGCCTGTGTGCGCTTGCATCTGGAAGTGTCGAAGGATCCCTTCCCATATCGTCTTGCCAATGGACACCGGGTCTTAGTTAGCAATCACTCTAATTAACGATGAAGGGAACGTGTGAAGTCACGAGTAGAGTGCCGTACATGGAATAAACCCTCTCATCCGGTAAGACCCGTGCCCACCTGTGGAACATACAAAGGATTGACAATGTTGATGATGTACCTTTATCGATCTATGTTTTCACGGGTAAGGAGGCTATGAAATGATTTATAAAAATATTTTTAATAATAGTAATGTGAACCATTCCAATTACCTGGTCTCAAATTGGGAAGTTCCTTGGTCTATGAGTACCAGCGCAGCGAAATTTACTGCCCAGCACCTTCAGGCCAGAACCAATTTAGAAAAGATCGTTTACCAAATTGTTAAAGGGAATAGTCCCGGGACAGCCTCGTCTAGCTTTCACCGAACTCGAGAAAGTAAAGTCCTATTTCTTAATAATTTGATCAATGTAACTGTAGGTGATTATTACAATAGTCATAGTAAAAAGGCTTACATCAGAATTTCAACATAATATCGCATGAACTATCTTTAACTTTTGCGTGTCGGATTGCGTCTTTGACGTCCGTTTTATCTCAGAGATACGTTTAATTTTAATGTTTAATGTTGATGTAGCGTTATTTTTTAAATTCGTTTATGGAATTTCGCCGTTCTATAAGTGGATTTGAGAGTGAGCAGGGCAGTTGAAATTGTTAATATATTGTGTTAATCATTTCGTGTAAAGGTAGGTGTGATGTGCCACTGGCATAGATTTTTACCTGCATTTTGTTGTTAAGGAAAAAATGGCGTGCAGGGGCACGTGTGCATAAAGGGTGGCTGTATATAATAAAACATGTGCCAACGCAGGTGCGCACTCACGCCAACTGCTGCAATACCATTTGCGCCATCTTTATAAAACAACAATTGTCTTTTTTCCATTAAGGTAAAAAGTAGGTTATAGCAACGTTGACAGTTTGAGTAAAGCTGCAGACGAAGATTTAAGCGTCACGAGTTGACAACTAACTTGATGCCTGTAACACAAGTAGTAGTAGCACAGTTGATAGGTCCACCGTTCAATTTCCAGAGCTTTAATTTGTAAGTTACGTACATTTATGAAAGTTTCTCTCCCTAACGGTGACAAAAATATCGCGATGAAACTTGCATGTAGGCGAACTGCGCCTTAAACCTTTCCTTGCGGAAGCGCGTGCCCAGCAGTTGATGATGACGGGTAACACATGATGTTATCAAACAAATTTCTGAGACAACAACTTATTTTTCTTTTTTTTGTGTTTTATAAGTATAAGTCACAATATCTTATTCTTATTAACAACTCGCGTTTCACTCAAAACGTTTGGCGGAGAATTTCATAATACCTGTCAAATCACTTGAAGCACAAAAAACGAAGAAATAAGAAAACGAAGCAGGGATTTGCTTAATTGATATAAATTTGAAGTGTATTATTAGCTTTTGCAAAATTAAACGCAAAAAGCAAGCAGGTACGATGAATTTTACCATATGCCCTAAAACACATTGTAAATTGCATCTGTAATTAAAAATAACTTTTACGTTAACTCGTTTAACACTGGCCGCACAAGACGAGCACCAACGAATCGCAGCGCCAACGTCATCTTTTAAAATTATGGTATTTTTCCCTGTATTACACCAAGAACTCATTAAGTAATTATGTCATTAAAATGAACCAATGTTTGAACAATATATTACGTCTAATGAAATTTACTACGATGAGAGATCGTCCAAGGAAGTACTGCCACCACAACCGTTTCTGCCGCATGTAAGCATTACTGTGTTCCGGTTTTGAAGAGTAAGGTGAAACTACAGGCACGTGGGACTTATCAAGATATGTCTCAGGGTGACAGACGCATTCTTTTTTCAGTTAGTGTAGGGATCGCAGTCTTAACCGATCTGAAATTTGGTGTACTATGTAAGTCCGACGACATTACATTAATGTGGTAACCTAGGTTTGATGCTGCAACTAGGATAGCTTGTTGGCTGTTCAACTCCTCAACTACTGACAGTAGCACTATCGTGTTTGGGCTTATTAAATTAGTCGTTTTTTAGAGCTGTTTAGAGCTTTGACGAAATGACTTTATTGAGTACATTATTTTATATTGGGATTTTTTTCAATTATAATTTCGGTTTTATTACAAGTTATTTAATTTTAATGTTCTTTTCTCCTAAATGTTTCCTTTATTTTTCCAGATAATGGACTGTGCTCGTTTCAATGGAAGAAGTACATAAATAAGGTGAATAATTATTTTTAGTTTCCATAATATTAATGACTGTGTAGAGATTCAACGGTACACCTCTTATAGTTTCTCTGATTCTATGAATTTTCCTAGCTTTTTATTTGCACATTAGCACAAAACAATTATACAATCACATAGCACGGTATACTGTCAAAAGTAGTAAATGAGCCTGAAAACGCTTCGACGTCAATAAAATTGTTCATGATCGTTTCATATTGTGGAGCGTCGTCGAAAATTGCTTTCGAATCAGCTCGTGCATTAAAGTAGAGTGATAAGTTTAAAGAAAAGGACATTCTTACACTAGTGTCAGAGCACATTTATGAAAATTTAATTTATGTTAAGAATAATACGAATTTTTTTAAATCAAGAATAGTGACAGAAATAACATAAATAAGAGGAATAAAAATGAACTAGCTGTTCTTGAAAGTCGTCTTCACAAAGTCACGAATTCATTTGCGGGGCAATGTATACGTATATATATATGTATAAATTTCTATAATAAGATCCCAGTTGATATTCAAAATTTGCCATTACGAGGCTTAAAACTATAGTGAAACAAATACTTTATACTAAAGGTTATTATACATTAAATCAAAGATTATTATACAGTTTCTGCGTGCTTGGGAGACAACATTTCGTGTTAGGGACCCGTTCAGCTCATGCAGGTACTCTCAATCTAAGATGTTTGAAAAAAATATTTAAAATGATAAATGTATATTTACAAAGAGCAACTTACCTAGAGTTGCTTGCTCATTCTTCACAGGGGAATTTGCCTTAGGAATGAGCAGTAGAGTTTAACCAATTTCAAGTGTTTTTGTGTTTTTTTTATCAATGAAATAAAAATGATTTCAGTTTTAGTTTGAAAGTAAATTTTAAATTCCATTTATATAGCTCATGAAAACCTTTGATATGTTTGTTTCTAATATTCATAGCGCTTGTTAGCGGATATTAATAAAAATATATTAAAATCCTTTTACAATGCGCCATATGGTTATCTAAATTAAACAATATTGTTCTTAACAACTTGGTCAAACCGTATCGTGCGTTTCGGTAAATGTTTGAGCAGCTTCAATCGCCCACAATACCATGTTTGTCGAGCTGCATGTTGACCGTCCACGCTCGATTTGTACTACAATGCTCACCAATATACTATTTGCATTCCTAAAACTGTACTGATCCGTTCAATAAAGTTTCACATACGTCTATTGAACAGCATCGTTATGTTGGTATTACTTGACTAAACTTTACCGAATAGTTAGCACTTTCATTCGTCAAATCGTTTTTAGTCGCCGGTGTTTAACTTGTTCGAAATTCTAATTTAAAAAAAATACTTTTTTTTTCAAAGAACGAGGTGATTGCTGTCAGTTAACAAAATTTTGAATAATTTGTGTTAAATAAATAAGCGACTGTAATTTATGAGTAAATCGCTTGAATTGATGATGTTGCAATTAGTAATTCTTATAAAGCGTTGAAGTAATCGTTTTCAACTCGTGTCACGTTTCATTCGTGTTGAAAATTGTGTTGATTACTAAATCAATAGAGTCGACAAACCGAGATTTAATCTTGACAAGCAAGGAAATAATAGACAGGGCATTGTTGGACGCTGATATCAGTTTCTTCCTGTGTTCCGTGAATCATAAAGCTTGTTGGATTAGACAGGTGTAATGTGCAAGTTAATCTTACGTCTTGAACTTTGCAATTTATCTTGAGTTTTGTTCATGTTTCAATTAAAATATTCATAAATCGACTTAAATTGGAGCCGAGTTCTCGTCGATGCGGCGGTGGCGCCGTGGGAACAGGTGACACAATGGCGAGAGCGAGAAAAGGCTCTCGATTCTATAGCACCCTAGTGCCAGCCATTGGCACTCGTACTCGCCGAGAAACCGTGAGACCCGTGGGACACTTTTCCGGATCTACAGCCGTACATTCGACACGTGTCACTTTTCTAACGTAAATTGTATTAAATTTGTATTGTAACTCATAATAATAAGGTACGTAGATGAAAGTTAGACTGGCACTTGTACTCACAGACACTTGATGCCGACGAACGGCCTGAGACCAGTGAGTGATGTCATAAATTTAACATTATTTAGTGCCTAGGTGATCTGCCAGTGTATCTATACATTAGCGTCGTAAAGAGACCAGTTCGACCGTGAACCTCGCGGTGTGAACGAACTCATTTAGGAGTCAAAATGGTCTGTGAATTGCATTTGCCTGGTCGTTCGTCTAGAGACGTGACTGCCGAGTGTTTGCGTGTTGCTGGTCGTATTTTCTCGGCGCGGCTCTCGTATATCGGCTTCGACGGGCCCGTACATCAGTGACCCCGGGTCCTGGCGCGGTCACGATGCGCCATGCGCCACACTTAGCACGCACTGTCCCTTGCTGCGAGCTGACTAATGTTGTTGTCAGAGCGAACATTAATGCCGCCGATCCTCGCGCTTCTGAGACAAACGACAGGGAAGTGATGGCGCGATTCAAGCTAAGGCTATTCAAAGTGGGAAATTCTGCGTTAAAGCGGTAATCGGTCATCTTTTCGTGTATTGCCTGCGAGTAAAATGTAGAGTATTGCCGGGAATGGCGCATCGTGACCGCGTTCACACGGTCGGGAAGATTACCGGCCTCAAGTCGCGTGATTGATCGCCCGAATGCGCGCAGCTACGACTGACGAACGAATGAGCGGATTATAACTTTTGTCTGTCTCACATTCGATGCTTGTTTGAAAGAACTACGCTGTCGCAACACTCAGCAGTACGCCTAAACAGCTTATATCACAATATTGGTACAGTGTACAGAAGACTGCGAAGGCGAAACTTGAGTATGAATTATGAGCGAAGGGCCGGCGCGTAAAGATTGATTGCGTGAAATGCCAATTTGTTCCACTTTTCTCCAAGTCGAGCTGTGCTGGCATTAACATCTTGTTTTATACCACGGGCGTTTTATAATTGATAAAATACAAAGCCCCTTTATTTGTGAAAAAAAAAATTCGGTTATAAATTGAATCGAGTCTAGTTAACGAGTTCACTTTGTTATATAAAACTTTCTACATAACATAAAAATTGCCCCTAAAAACGAATAGAATTCTTACTTATAGGAGGGACCGAAAATCTCATTTGAAGGCTATATATATTAGACTGACTGGTATATTAAGTACTCCCACACGAGGAACTCATGTTTTTGTGCGACAACACGGCGTGAGTCATGCCGCAAAACACATTGGTACAAATTAGAGCCGAGGTGGTTTAAAAATAGTAAATATAATATGTAGGAACTGCTTAATGAACATATTTTATTACACTGTTCTTAAGGTAAAGATACATTTTCTATGGAAAATAAGTAGCGTTAATAACTTGTGAATTTCTAGACATTATAGATATTGCGAATACAACTGTGCTGTTTTAGCCACGTACGTCCCACTACCGGGCACGGATGAGGACATGATATATACCTTACCTTGACCTTTATTAATGACGATCGATGTTCATCTTTTTTTGTTTAGCTGATTATGTCAACCTCGCCTCGCCTAAAGAAAGCCTAGACCTTGGACCCTCTGCTTTTTGTTATGGATCACAAGTATTCAAAAAGTATGCGAATCGCTCGCTTCTAATAAATAATAATTTATTTTGTGTCAAAGTTAGATTCCATTCTAACGTTTGTTTTTGATTGCAGCATTCCACGATGCTTACCGAAAATATATACTTCTCATAAACTCATCAAATACGTTTATAAAACGATTAATTTTTAATATCAAATGTTGTGACAATTTATCGATAGGACGAACGACAGATATATCGACCAGCATAGACACTATTTCGAAACGTCGAAGAATTGTCAAACGTTCGGATATTTATACAAATGTCACATAACCGATCGTTTAAAAAAATCATTATCTGAACTCATTGTTGCTCACAGTGCAGTTCGGATACACGTCTCTAAAAAAAAAAACGGTACGCAAAATAGTCTTTCTATCATATATTTGTTCTGCTCGAACCTTATCGTCCATATTTCCTCTGATTAGATCTGTATCATCAAAATTATGCGTAGTGTAATTTTGATTCTAATCCCGTTCTACAGTTATAATAGCGCATATTGTGGGAGTACGTACGAAAATATTCAAGAACAATAGTCGATTACATTATGATTTAGTTTATTTTCACAATAATTACATTTTGACTGTATTGAGTTTTGCGGTTGGTTATTATACAATACAATACACAGGTTATATAGAAGCTGACATGTACAAAATAGGTATAGTTTCACTGTGGCCGGTTATGGCAATTTGGTGTACAAATATTGAAGGTATGGACATTCACTCACATGCACTTCGACAGACTAAAGCAGGTGTAACAAGTTTCTTTTTCAAAAATATTATACGGGCATATTAAATTCACATATGCACACATGAATTTAATAAGTTTATTCGTTCGTTCATTCAAAATAATAGCCTAATTATGAATAACGTCAATAACGTCAAATGTTAAAAATTAGACAATGAATTTAGAAATGTATCATTTAAAAGTCATGTGAAAACAATATCCTGTATTTTTATGATGCTGATAGAAGGGGTCAACTGTAAGGTATAATTACACTTTATAAGACTCATAGAATGTGTCTTCCTATTTCCAGTACTGGACGTCTTTCGACTGAAATGAAGGTGATAGGTTATGAAAAGAAGAATACAGAAGTCATGTTTCAAATTTGTAGGCTTTGTAGTACTGGAAATTGATTGAATGATGTTTACCTGTTTACATACATTTTAGATTCTTGTTGCTGTTTGTTTTGCTTAGAGGTATGTAGGAGTTTGACAAGTGGCGTGGTCCACGGTGCGATGTAGAGTTGTATAAACCGTTTGTGGTAAAACCCGACCGTCGTCGACGAGACGGTGGGTTCACGACCCGAGCATTACGTTGCGTGTGCGCAACCAGACGCGATGCACCGCATTATGAGGTCATTAGTAGAACCTAGTAATTTTGAACTATGTAAAGTTTTTACGATCTTTA